AATTAAATATGACAATTAAAATATAGGAAACACTCTTTCTCCACTAAGAATATGAGTTCTATATATGGAAGACGTGATTAAATGCATTCGACCAAATTTTCTCATGCTGTCTATGTGGCCAATTGTATACCACTAAAAAACTAGTGGACTAGTAAAGTTGAATCCTGTTTCTTTCCAATATATAATACATAAATATACTCTTTAATTTAGCTTCAAATTATATTTATGTCTTTCAATTTTAGATGTGCACAAATAGACACTTAAATTTGTATAAAATTGAATAAATAGACACATATATCATCCGACATGTTATTTTTTATCCTACGTGATGTCCTACATGTATTGTGTCATGTAGGACTCATGTGTTTATTTATTTAAAAGTTGGATAGTTAAAGTGCCTATTTGTGCATTATGAAAATTGAGGATCAAAATTAAAATTTAAAGCCAAATTTAGAATCTAATATATGTATTATTTATGTCTTTTTCGAATATGATTGTTTTCTTGTCAAATCTCCCTTTCCTTTTTTTTTTCCTATTTTAAAATACATCCTGCGTTGAAATTGAAATAAATTATCCATTCTAGTACGTAATTTTATAAATTCACATAGATATTTAACATGTATGATTGGAGATATATTGGCTTTATAAAAAATTATCAATTATCATCATAAAGATCAGTAATTAATTTTGAACTCGAATTTTACTTTCTCAATTTTATTAAAGAGTAATATACTATTACGATGGTTTAGTTTTTTTTTATTATTGAATTAAAGTTCAATCAGTAAATATCGTATTTTTTTATAATAACAAATTTAATAGTGTATTATACTTTTGTTATAAATTTTTACTTATTTGGTAAGATTATATAAAAATTGAAGTATTTTTATTTTAATATTTATGAGCAAAAAAATTAAATTGATATTAAAATAAAAATTTAATTTCATATTATGATTTCATCTCACGTGATCAAACGAGCCCGAAAATTTGCCTTTTAGTCTATAACACGTTGGTTGTCTTAGAGAATCATTTAATCATTATACTCGAAAGTCTTTGACGAGATCTTTAGATATGGTCTTGAGTATATACAATAAAAATATCATAAAGTACAATAATGTAATCATTTATAAAATACAATAATGTTACATTTATTAACGGTTGACAAAAATCGCCATGCAAATCAAGATCGTCGTCTAGCAACACAAATGATTATTGACTTTTGCTTCTCAGTTTAGCTTACCAACTTGTTGAAAAGGAAAAATGCGATAAATATTTTTTCATCGTCATTTATATCGTTTAACAACGAATTACATTTTATCATCATCATCAAAAAGTTATTTAAATTTTGTTTGCTTCTTTGTTTTGTAAGTAGTTCATGGCGAGCCGAGTATATTTTAAAAAAATATCAACTTTTTTTTAACAAGATCTTTAAATTGTGATAATTGTTCGTAAAATTGTAAATTAGTCCAAAAAAAAAATATTTAGAACATATGTAGTCATAAATAACTACCAACTCATAGAAAAGGACTAGTTATGGATAGATCAAAGCCACAAGTTGCACCACGTGGCATGAAACAATGTGAAGTTTCCTCATACACTTTGTACAAATGACTAGATATGAAAAGCTCTTTAATGGGTCCAATATTATGATCTTAAAGTTATATTCATATGCTATTTAATTATATTTTTAAATAATAAATTAATTTTTTAATATTTTACGTAAATAAATTAAAGAGTATAATGAGCATTAGACTTTAAAATACTTTTTTTATTTTTATAAAATCAAAAAATAACTTATAACTTATATAAGTTATCACGATTAATATTAAAAGAGTATGTAATCTAAAGTTCATTTTAACATCATGTTAGACATTAACATTAAATTAAATTACAATATTTTTTGAATATAAATATGTCCTCTTCTTTAATTTTATGTATTCGACTGAATAAAAAAAAGATAAACCTCAAGCATATTCTAATTTGGTGAATGTAGATATAATTAATTGAGATGACATGTTTATGTGGTTATTATAACTATATCTATAAGCATTTATAATCACGCACACGAAGTTTTTTTTTTCAAATTTTGAACAAAAAATGTGTGAAGTGTTTAGGTATTTCATCGAAACAAGTCATAGTTTGTATATCAAAATAAATTTAGTGACAAGTTTAATTGACTATAAATATATAAAGCCAAGTGATAAATTTATTTTATTAAAAAATATTAAAAACTCTATATCCAACTTGCACAACTGCAATTTCATTCAATTAATTTTTTTATAGCAAAATAATAAAAAATCGAATAAAATTACATTTATTTTGTCTATCATAAAGATAAAAATATTTTTTGTATTAATAATTTTACCTTTTTAGTATGATAAAAATTTGTTTTACTTTTTTTTTAATCATGGTAATATGATTCATATTTAAAATATTTGTGTCATTTATGCCTCTAGTGAAAGATATTACATGTAGTTTCAAAGCATAAGTTGTGTTTGTATGTGTTCTGTCCTTATTCAATTGATAAATCTTTTAATAATCTTCTTTTTTTTATGAACTACAACTACATATGAAATAATTTTAAAATTTAAATTTGTCATATAGCATGTTCATGAAAGATAGTAATATTTTAAAAATAAGATAATTTACTTAAAAAGAAATAAATCCCCCTTTTTATTTGAGACAAGAAGATAGTAATATTTAGAATTAATTGATAATTTATCAAATTTGCATTCTAATGTTTAAATTTCTTTTTTATTTTAAAATTTGAATTCTAAAATTGCCAAAAAAGATAAATTCTATACTTAAAACATTTTTAAAATTGTGCTATTATAAAAACTAACTTGATTTATATTTTGAAGACTAAATATAGGGCATGTAAAAAATATATATATCGAAGATTGAAAAATAAATTGGGTGCATATTATATGATGAAGTTAATAATTGTTGAGAATTTAAAATTTATAATAGATAGTAAATTTATAATGATACAAAGAGAATGGACTTACATTATTACACGTGTTTAAAGGCTATTGTGAGGGAATAAGACAAGACTAAGTACATAGTACAATTATTTTTTCTAATTGTACAACTCTTCATAGCCATGGTCGTCCTACCATGGCTCTTCTATATTAAAGAAAAAAAATTCTATATAATAATAATTTAAATTTGAGTTCTGAAATTGTCAAAAGATAAATTCTATAGTTAAAAATATTTTTAAAATTGTACAATTGTAAAAGCTAACTTGATATATTTTGAAGACTAAATATAGTTCATGTAAAAAATATATATGAGGAAGCTATAATGTTAGGACAAGTTTTCATAACATTCAATGATTTTCGCTCAAACGTTATATATCTGTATCAGAAATTTTATTACATGAATAGAAATATTCAATTACAAACTCAATAACTAAAACAAGTTATTAGCTAGTTTAAAATTCATCAACTTTAATTATTGACTCAATATTAAAATCGGGAAATAGTGTCCTAAAACCAAAAAAAAAAGAACTTAATAAAAGAGAAATATAACATAGAAAATAACCGTCTATTCTATCGTGATTTCTGTCAATTGTCCTTTGGTTTTTTGTTTTCCCACATAAAAACGAGTTCTTTACACCTCTTTGGACGTGAGTGTTGGGCCAATAATAGAAGGCCCAAGATGTATTGGGGGCTCTTTATATCAAGTGAAAGCTAGTGGCTGGTCCAGCTCACTAGTACGGCCCATATGGAAGCCTTTCATACAGTTAGGCCCATCATGACACTGGGCCGGGGTAGATAGTACCGAGTAGTTACCTTATCGGAAAAAATATTGATTTATTTTTTAATAAATAATTATTGATTTAAATGATATCTTTTTTTATTTATTATAATAAATGCCAATGCATGATCACAATATTATGATAAATCTATGATGTATTAAAAATGAATTATGTATGTAATATGAATGTATTACAGGTGTTTTAAAATGTATTATGCTTGTTTAACAATAAATTTTGTACGTTAAAACTATATTATATGTATTTCATGAAGAAAGATATAAATAGTAAATATTCTCTTAATATAACATATATGTGTAGATTTCTCACGGAAAATAACACTTGACCGTTCAATATATTTAATATAATCTCACAAATAAAATCTTAAAAAAAAAGTATATGTAAAAAAAATAGCACGTAAGCATTCTGACTATTTGATTATTAATACTTTCTGGACATGTTCGATAGTATTTTTGATTTTCTCAACTTCATTCTTTAATTTTTTATGAAAATAAGATTTTTAACATTGGGAAAAATAATTTTCTCATAAAAGTATGAAAAATAAATTTATACTCTACGAGCTTTCATTTTCTTACTTTATTGATGATTCAAGCATAAAACCTTGAGGTGTATTCTTAATATGGTGTTAGCAATTAAATAAAGCAATAAAGTACTTCTTTTTATGCTTAGGAAAAAAGGACAAACTATTAACAAATTATACAGTGCGTGCACGCTAGATATTGCGTTAAGAGTTGAAAAGATGCATTTACTATTTCTCAAAGTTTGTAATTACCTGTACACTCTTAAATTAATACATTTATTAAGAAAACAATAATTGAATTCATTCCATTTTTTACTATGCAGTTATATTAAGAAATAATGTAATTTTACTCCTCTACCTATATTTAATATTTTCTTAAGTCAACTTTATAATAAATGATGAATTTCTTTTCAAGATTAATTAACTAAGGATATAATAGATAAATATGATAATTTATGCATAAATTTTATAAAATGGTGAGTATTGTGATCCAGCTATTTATGGAAAAGGAATGACATATAAAATGGAATGGATAGAGTATTTCATTTTTATTAATTATGAAATAGATGAATTAAAAATTTAAAATTTTAAAAAAATTTCTACTTTATTCAGAAAAATTATTTGAGAGTATAATAGTTAAAAAAATTTTTTTATCCTTTTTTAATAATGAAAATGGATAAATAATTAAGAAATGTCAAATTCTCCTTTCTTAATATTATGTTTTTTATATTATAAAGTTTTAAAAATAGTTGGGAAAAAAGATATTTTGTCCTGCAGTCCTCCAAAAACTAAATAGCTGAGGAATACATTATCTGGATTTCTCTTCAGCACTTCCTGGCTCTGGCATGAATTTCCGGCTTAATGTAGGCCGATTAGGGAGATAACCAGCATAAGGGTATTGCCCAAAATTAACTGCTGCATGAAGTGCTGAAGCTATCCATATAGTGATGGTGCAGGAATCTATGAGCTCTTGCACACTTTGCATTTTAGGCCACCAAGGCTCATCTTTCTTGTCGCCATGTCCTTCTTCGCGGAGCTCCTTCCACCAGGCTTGGAGTTCAGCGTCTTTCTGTACCGCGTCATCTGATTTGTAATAGTAGTTGCAATATTCTGTTACCCAACTTTTGATTGCTGACCAAATTTCCAACCCATCAACAGCATATGGATAGTCCTGAATCAGTAAGCGAACACCATGTGGGGAGTTTGAGTCCTCAACAGCCACTCCTCTGATATTAAGTAACATTATGGTCCAGTTAGTAAGAAAATAACACAAAATCTATTGTTTTAGTACAGAGTTTATAACAAAGTGCTTTAATTTGTGTCTTTTCATTTACCTTTTGATAACATCAGCAGGAAGTGCTTGTTCAGGAAAAATCCAGTCTTTGTAAATTACTGATGACAGTTGCATGGAATATTTGGCAGGAAAGACAGTGAATTCAAGAAGTCCGCCACCATTGATTAGGGTTTGTCTTGCTAAAGCATTTATGTTCATCGTATCACGAAAATGAGGAAGGAGAAGCTTATGAATAGGGTGAAGTACACTTAGTCGCCTATTTGTTGCAATCACAAATGGCTCCATCACTGCGTGTGTGTTTAGCCTGACAAGATATAAACAAAGTGCTTTAGATTATTAAAATTTGACAACACATTGGAGTTATACAACTAATTTTTGGACAAGTTTTTACCAGTGACTGACGAGCTGATGCACGCCTGAATCATTCACTGCTGCAAAGGCTTTGGCCAACTGCCAAATAGAACCTTCAACACCTTGATCAGATGGTGTAAAAACTTTGCTAACAGCACCATATTGATTTCCGTCTGGATGTGGCAAACTTAGTTCGATTGCTAGTGGCTTCAAAGTTCCATCACCTTGCAGAAAGAGCAGAGTTCTCGAGGCATACATTTTTGTGTTTGTTGTCGTATTTATTCTCCTCACATACGGCATCAGAATGTCATGATGGTTCAATATGAATAGCCTGTTAGTCTTGATTGCCTGTTAAATAGTAGTACATACTCTTTATCGATTAATATTTGTCACTACAATCTACTCATTAAAGTTGATTGAACAATTTATTACCTCATCAACTGTTAATCCAACTTATCCTCTACTTGCTCCCTGGTAATTGTACTGGTTTGGTTGCCATATATTTTAGGATCCAGCTTGCTTTTTGGAGGGAATTCCTGCATATAACAAATAAGCCAACTTTTTCAAAACGCACGAAAAATCACTAAAAACAGTAGTTAACTGATGGTAGCTACTAATATCTTCTTACTTGTAGTCTACTAATTACGACAGGATTGACTCCTGCTAGCATTTCTCTTCCGAATTCTTCATCCGTCCTCCAGGAAGATTTATCCTCTACTTAGACCAACGTATAAAATTTAGATTACCAAAAGTTGAGGAAATGTGATTTTGATCATGTTAAAATTCAGATAAATACCTTGGATAACCTGAGGTATCGGGTACTTGAGTAGGCCTTCACCATCAGTAGAAAGGAGTTGTTTTAGTATCTCCAAAGGAATAGCATCCACAATGGCTTTAAACAAAGGCCCCTGAGGCAACTTGATTCCTCCTTCATAGATTTTAAGTACATCCGCAAAGCTATCAAATTCATTAGGCGTGCTATCAAATAAAGCCTTAAACTCGGGGAGGAGGAGCTGAGAAATGGATTTCAAAGCAAATGTCAAGAAGTCTGACATCTTCACATGTCCAAATCGCTCGTCCCTTGGCACATATATATCTAAGCTCATAAGCAATGGGATCCTGCTCTCCGTATTAGGATCTGTAAACAGTAAAAGGCAAATGTCAAGACAACTTAATTTGTCAATCATATTGAGACTATTATACTGTGAATGTCTTAACCTGTCTTGGTTGGTTCGCGTCCTGTCCTGCCTCTACGAGGATACGGATACTGAGATGATCCTCCAAAGACAGGCCTAGCATACTCTTGGCCTTTGTCTGGATCACCCAAGTCATTGAATAAGCATAGTCATAAACCCTGTCCCATTCTTCAAGCTTTCCAGTTCCATCTCCTCTTAAGGCTACTAGTTCATTTTCTCTGTATTTTCGTAACAATTCTGGTGTTTCACTTGGGAGATAAGCCTATATCAAATATGTGTTAGACAGATACATAATTAGAGTCTTGTTACATGTCTAATAAACAAAATAATCATACCTGATTTGCAAAGAAAATGCGGTCAGACTTGTACTTAGAATATATATATATGTGTTCTCTTAGATAACAGCGGAGGCATTTTTTATACTAAAATGTAACGGAAGATATAAGTGGTCTATTTTAAATAGTTCAGAAACAATTTTAATCCTTTTTTGTTAATATAATGAAAAATTTATATCATAAAATATTAATCAATATTCTTATAATTTAATTCTAAAAATAAATATAATAATTAAACGTATACAGAATTTGTTTGATTTTAAAAAATAAACATGACAATTAAACGTATACGAAGAGTATAACTCTTTCTCTTCTAAATATAGAAGATGTGATTTAATGCATTCGAACAAATTTTCTCATGCTGTCTATGTGGCCAATTGTATCCCACAAATTTTATTAGTTTCTTATCAAATCCCTCTCCCTTTTTTTCTTCTCTATTTTAAAATACATTCTGTGTTGAAAATTGAAATAAATTATCCATTTGTTGATCAAACTCTTTCTAGTACGTAATTTTATAAATTCACATAGATATTTCACATGTATGATCGGAGATATATCGGCTTTACTTAAAGATTAGAGGGTTAAAATTGTGTAAAAGGAATAAAAATGTCTTAAAGATTATAGTTTAGTTTAAAAATATTTTTATCGTAAATACTTTTATTTAAATAATTAATACTTTAATCAGAAAATATCCTTATAGTTATAAAATAGGTCAAAAATGTCTTTTTTCGAATATATATATATGTATATATTTCTTTTAAAACACTTCTTCGTAATTAAAATATTATTTGAGAACACTATTCTTGTTTTCTTTCTTCTAAAATCATTTTAACAAATAAAAATATCGAAAATATTTTTTTCTTAATCTTATTTTATCAATTAAAATCATGCACTCTTTCGATAGATAATGTGTGTGTGTGTATATATATATATTTTCATCATCATTTAAATCGTATATTTTCATCATCATTTAAATCGTCTAACAACGAATTGCTTTCTATCATGCTCAAAAATTTTATTTAAATTTTAATTTTGTAAGTAGTTTATGGCGAGTCGAAACTCTTGAACCAACAGATTATTAGATTGACATTGCAAACGAAAAGCTTCAATCGTATTACAGAAAAACAAATCAACCTAATTGTAGAGGCAAAAAATGCCCTAGCTTAAAATGTAATTTTGGAATGACATAACATTAAATTATAATCTAACGTCAACAAAATTTTAGACTATATTATTTTCTCAAAAAGAAGTTAACTCTTTTTTCCCCCAAGATCCTTAAATTGTGATAATTGTTCGTAAAAATACTAGTTAGTCCAAAAGAAATCTTTAGACCATAATCTAAAAAGTTTGATAAATTACTATCAACTCGTAAAAGGACTAGTTGTGAAGTTGCCTCATACACTTTGTACAAAAAAATAATAATACAAATAATGCAAGAAATAAAGCATACTGCATAACATTGTTTTATATAGTTACACCTTTAATTATTTATTTCCTTCGGCATAGATATAGTTGCATGCACAGCATTTTTATTTTCTTTCCAATATGATATATAATATTTGATGTTTATTTTTTCAAAATAAACACCATACTACATGTTTATTTTATTTGATGCAAATTTATTCCATATGTAGACAATGATAATTTAATTATTCTCATGGCTATTTCAGAAATTCCTTAGCAATTTTCCCATTAGCACCCTTAGGGTAAAATCCACCAGGCACATGTTCATCTCCGGAACCATATACGATCCTTAGAATCTCAGCTGGAGTTCTTTTGTAGGAAAGTGAACCAAAATTAGCTGATAATACGTTACTTCTAGTCCGATTCTCTGCTCCAAGCGGTGACTGAACGTATACACCTTCATCTTTAATCCCGCATTTACCTAATTTATTTCTTAGTCCTGATATACGAGATGTGAAATCAGCCACCGTGTATTGGTAGGGGGAAACTAATTCCGCTGCTCTCTCGTAGAGGTACATCCTTATAACTGCGTCTTGTCCTGATTCAACACCTAATAACCCTGCCAAAAGCTACGAAAGAAAAAAAAAGTATTATTTGCAATAGAAAAGGTTATACTTTTTAAATATATTTGTCATTTTTCATCTAACTTTAAAGTCATATTTTTACGAATCATTTGCTTTTGAGGGTGTAAAATACGTTCTTGTTCTAGTTTATAACATGCTATTTTTGGGGAAAAATAGGAGTCGCGAATCGGAGAAGAATAAGGAAAGTTGTCTTTGTATTAGTATTTAGTTTTTTCTAAGGTTATTTACTATAGGAAATTACTTTTAAAAATGAGCGATCTTGGAGTTTTGATGGTTGTTTGACTTGTGAGAAAACCTTTAGTGTTAAAAGTTACGATTGTTGAATTTCAAGTTTTGTTCACAGGACTATCAATGTCAAAAGTTCAAGATCACCCGCCTCCAAAATCATTCTTTGTAAATTATCTAGGGAGGATTAATGCATAGAATATATATTTACTTACCCTTTTGGTTTCGTAGCCATTGATATTGGGATTTGTACCAACATAACCAACCAATCCAACATATGGAATCACATAACAAGATAACATGTAGCTCAAACTGTCTCTGTATGGATCAAATGGAGGTACCAATTTGTGCCCAAAAGCATCGTCAAATATCTTTGCAAAATGTTTAGCACTAAGATCTAACAAAGGTCTTGGAAAAACACCAACTGTTGAGTTAAGTGACCTGCAAAACAACCAAACAAACATAACACAACCTAATTATATAAATACTTCGCACCATGATACGCTTGCGTTTGAACATGCAATATAATATCATGATTTGAAATTTGGATATGCGACGTCAATACTCCAAACTTCTTCATGATTCCAAATTTCAATTTTTTACCTTAGATGACCAACTTCTTGATTAGCAAATTCCATAATAATATTGTTGGTAAGTTGATCAAGATTTGCTTTTCTAGCACCAATAGGAGGTGGCCCAGACATAGGCAAATTTGGTGCAACTTCGTCAAGCCCAAATCCATAAGAAGCCCATAAAAAGTACTCTGCTTCTAAAAACTCTAAGTTCACTGCAAATTGCATTTTGTCTACATCTTCTTTCTCCACTCCCACTCCCTTCTTTGGGTACCCTGATGGACAATTAGTATTAGTTGCATATGAAAATGACATGAATAAAATTTCACTAAGGACCATGTATGTGACTAAGAAATGGATAAAGAGTAATTTAAAAGACATAATTAAGCTTAATGTAGAATAAGAAAGAAGTTTTTTTTTTTACTTGTTGTAAATGTGTGCATTTTGGTTCAATATATATACTAGTAATATTAGTTAGAAGCTTATTGGGATAACACCAAGAACAAGGTCCACATTCATCTCTCCTCTCCTAAACGATTCCTAAAAATGTGAAATTCATAAACTCAATAAATTGCGCTATTAATATTTTTCCAAACCTGTTTTGATGTGAATTGTGAGGTTCATGTATTTGTTGGAAAGGAAATTATAGATATATTTTTATTTATGAAAAAATGTTTTTTAGGAAAATAATGAAGTTTTTTACTTATTTTCAGTACATAAAGGGGTGTTAAAGGATAAAGAGGACATAATCAATATAGTATATATGAAGATACATATATGTTATATATTCAGTACGTAAAAGGGTGTTGAACGATAAAAAATATACCATCAATATATATAGTATATAGATGATATGTATACCTAATATATTCATGGACAATATCAGGACAATCATGATTCCACTATTAATTTGTGAATAATATTCATGAAGCAATATTAGGACAATGATATTATTACCAAAAGATTCCAAGCATTATAATTGGGTTTATTAATTACTGCCCACACATTGCCACCATGCATGCATCTTTTAAGTCATCGACGCCCACTTAAAGTTATTCGTATAATTTATTTAGACGCTTTAAAGAGCTGCAGAATCAAGTATAATGAACGAAAGAAATAGTAATTTCTCTAATCCAATATGTATATATAAATTGTTCACACAAAATGGATGAATTTTGCAAATTTCAAGAATATATCAAATTAATTCTTTATATATGTGTGTGTACACGCACACATTACATTTAATTTAGCAACAAAATCATCCATAATTTTCAATTTTACAAGCTTTTAGAGGTCGAAAGGTATAATACTTTATTTAAATAAATAAACTATAATATTTTAATGCATATTGTTCTAACTAGCCCTACTAAAGGCTAATCTTGAATTTATTTTTATTATTTTTTAAAAAATAGCTCAATAAAATCATCCATAATTAATTTTCATATAGGTCATGTATTTCTTTGTTGAACTTTAATAAATAATGGTCCCTAGGCACTGCTCAAAATTAAATTGACAAAAACCAAACCTAAGCTGTGTAGATGTCTAGATAATGTACTTCGTACGCTCTAATTAATTTACTTATGAATACAATAATGTTACGTTTATTAGTGGTTGACAGAAATCGTCTAGTAACACAAATAATTATTGACTTAAGAAAAATAACTATTTAAAATAACATATCATCAATAATTGTACTAAATCAGTCATTAAAGTGTATACACTAACATATTCTTGTGTCTAAAAAATTTCCTAATACTTTATGATTTAGATGACACAAATCATAGTGAAATGTGAATCTTCTTTGAATTAACAATTGTAATTTTTGTGTTGAGTAAACAATCGGGCTGTTGACATCGATACTAGCCTTCATCAAATGAGAACTCTATGGAGGCGTATTATCAAAAGCAACTTTCGTGCTCATAATCAATTTATTCAAGAAGCAATTTTTATTTATTTAAAAAAAATATTGTAAGAGATGATTTTGGATTGAAATAAGGAGAGATATTTTCGAAAAGAAGATACAAATCATTTCTCAAAAAAGATGGGAAAAAAAGGAGTGCATCAATGGTAGAAAAATAAATATTTATTAAAGAAACGTATCCAAATCAAATATAATTGTGATTAAAATTTTAAAATTAAAAGAAATAGAAGATAAAATATGACTCCTAAAAAAAGTAGTCCATTAACCAATAAAATAAGACATAAATCGTGTTTATATTCATATCATATAATAATTTGTCATATTTGTAATTAAAATATTAATATAATAAATAAAAAGACTAAAATAATATTATGTAAATTAAGGTCTCTTATTCTTGTAACAACACTAAAAAGTATAATATAAATAATGCAATTAATAAATTCAGTAGCAGATTAATTAATTATTTCATGTATCATTTTAATTGTATATATGCTATTTTTTTCGACGAAAGGTGTACAATTGGACACCCTTAATACTATGTGGCTATGCTACTGAATAAATCACATGTAGATATGAGGAAGCTATAATGCGAGAAATAAAATTCATCAAGTTTTGCTCAAATTTATATATTTGTAACAGGAAATTTATTACATGAATAGAAATATTTAAACACGAACTCAATAACTAAAACAAATTATTCGCTAATTCAAAATTCATTAACTTTAATTATTGACTTAATATCAAATTCGAGGGATTAGTGTCATTTTGAATTAAAAACATCTTAATCATACTTTAACCTCCAAAATAATTTTGTTTTTTCCCTAATAAAAACGAGTTTTTACACGAATTAATTACGTGAATGGATTCCTTTTAAAAATTAATTACTTGTTTTAAATATACTCTTTCATTATTACCATTTATATCAACTTCTTTAATTTTTTCTTTTTGTGTGTCTCGCTCTTTCTTTCTTTCTGCTTTTCTGCGCCTCACTCTCTCTTTTTCTTCTTCTTTGTTTCTTTCCTTCTCCCTTTCTTTCTTTCTTTATTTCTTTTTTGCTTTTTTTTGTTGCTCTTTCTCCCTCTCGTACTTTTTTCCTTTATTTTCGTAGAATAGTCAATAATTCTAAATTGTATAAAATGTGTATCATTAGTTAATTAGACAAGTAATATAATCGTAACAAATGAAGAGGCATAAAAAATTACAAAATAAATTAAACTTTAATATAAATGTGTTACAAACACATTAAAGTTGAATTATTAAAAGAGAAGTAGTATAATTGTAAACAATAAAGAGGCATAAGAAATTGCAAAATAAATTAAACTTGAATTATAAATGTATTACAAACATATTAAAGTTGCATTAATAGAAGAGAATTAAATATGAATGCAAAATGTAGAAAATAAAAGAGCATTCTTTGATCTGCATGTAAACTGAATAAAACTTGTATCAATAATGAATTAAACAAGTAACCAATCATAACAAATCAATAGATTAATTGCAAATGAATTAAAAATACAAAAGTGTATTACATAAGTATTAAAGTTGAGGTATAAGATAAATTAAGCATGAAAAAAAATGTAACAAATAAAATATTAGACAGTGATTTATAAAGTTAATTAAACTTATATCAATAATGAATTAAACAAGTACCCAATAGGAACAAATAAATTAGGCCGATTAAAAACTGCAAAATGAATTAAATTGTACTTAAACTTGTATTGAATGGTATTAAATTTGAATAAAAAGAGAGAATTAAGAATGGATGGAAAACGTAACTATGACTGACAAGACTATGATCTGTAGAGTGAATTAAACTTGTATCAATAATGAATTAAACAAGTATCCAATAGTAATCAATAAATCAAAAAGTTGTGAAATGAATTAAATTTGCATTAAAATTGTATTGCAATGTATTTAAAGTTGAATTAGAAAAGAGAATTAAGAATGAATGGAAAATCTAACTAACGAAGGATATGACGATAATCAATAAACTGATAAGTTATATCAATAATGAATCAAACAAGTATCCAATAGTAACAAATCAATCAAAAAACTTTAAAATGAATTAAATGTGCATTAACATTGTATTATCTAATTCAACTTTAATACAATTGTTC